GGGGGACACCGTGAGGGCCTCAGGGAGGTCACGTCCCTCCCATGCTCAGAACGCTGCCAAGACGCCTCATCTCGCCCTCTACGAAGAAGCGGCCCCTGTCACCTCTCTGCCTCTACCTCTCCCCACTCACCCATGGCTCTCTGTGCCCCAGCCACAGCAGCCTCCGCCACTCCTTGACAATTTCCACCCTGTTCCTGCCGCGGAGCCTTTGCACTTGCTGTTCCCCCTGCTGCGCAGCTTTCCCCAGACAGCAGGGTGCCTCGCTACTTTAGTCCTTCCAGCCGGTTCTCAGATGATTTCAAGTGTGAGTTCTCTGAGCCCCCAATGTGGAGACGAAGCCCTCCCCCAGTTACTTCTAGCCCCCTTCCCTGGCTTTATTTTTTTCACAGTGCTGCCCCACCTCCATGTAACATACTACATAATTTACTCATTCACTGGTTTCTTGTCTGTATCACAGCTAGGAAGACTGGAAACTTTGTCTCATTCCTAGCTCTGAATCCTCAACACTTAGAACAGTGCCTGGAACACAGGTTGGTGCTCAGTAAATATTTGCCCATCGAATGGATGATTATTTCTGCTAGACCCAAGTTGTCTTGATCTTGGGCAAGTCAGCCCCTGGACCTCAGTGACCAGTCTCTGAAACAGGAAGGGCGACTGAGGGAAAGATAGAGGATAGAAGTCACTGGCTGCCTGCTCCCTGAACGTGTGCAGAGTGGACGGTCAGCCTGGCGGCCCTTGGACCCCGGGGCTTCGTATTTGCAGGCGAGGTGCCCAATGCCCTGTCTCCTCCTTGGATTGCCGCAGAGCCCCAAGGCAGGGGGTACTGGGGTTAGCAGACCAGGCCCGAGCGTGAACGCAGCTCCTGGATTTCAGTGGCACCCGCCTGGTCTGGTGGGTAGAGCCCAGGCCCCTCTTCTCTGCTGCTTGTGCCCACCTGGGGGGGCCCCTGGGCCCCGTCCCTGGCGGCCTGTCAGTGAGCCTGGCGTCCGGCAGCCCAGCTGGCCCTTCGCCTGCGCTCCCCAAGTCCATGCCTGGGGTCCCCTCCCTGCTCCTGTTTATTATTTAACCCTGGAGCATTTGGACACACATTTTGCATGAAAGCAGCTACTCAGATAGGGCAGAAAAGGGCAGCACGCCCAGGCCCAGGCCCTCCTGGGCACAGCTACCCCTTACCAGGGCAGATCGCGCCTGTGGGGCCTGCGAACCCCACTCGGTCTGGAATAGGGCTCCTGTGGCGGGCGGGGGATCGGACCCCTCCCAGCGCAGGGCCATGCCAGCCGGGCAGCAGCCCCGGCCGGCGGTCCCCTTGGCGTTCCTGGAACACCTGCCGCCGCCGCCGCCGCAGTTCCCAGAGTCCCGCTGTTGGAGTCTGAGAGAACAAGCGAGGGTTCAGGGGCCACGCGGACCTAAGTTTGAATCTGAACATTGTCACTTTATTCATTCGCTGCCAAATGCATACTGAGCACCTGCTCTGTGCCAGGCAGAGGCGAGAAACATCTCTCTGGAAGCTTAGGTAGGGATCAGGTGGTGTCACCGGGTGCTTGGAGGGCTCTCCTCATGACCCTCCGGGGTCACACTTACAGAAGGGCCCTGGTCAGGTAGGGCTTTCTGTCCCCCTTTGGCCCCTCCCCCAGACGGCCGCCGGGAACAGCCCAAACAGATCCCAAAAAGAGAGCAGGGCTCTGCTCTCCTTTGGGATAAGTCCCCCACCACCATCTCGTTCCTTCAGACCCCGAGGACACGTGCCCGGAGGCCAGCGTCTGCGGCGGGCACTCCCTGAGCGACCTCTGACACGTCGGGGACCTGTCCTCGCCCTGCAGTCCTCCAGCCCCGGCCACCCCAGTTATTCTCCGAGGAGGGCTGTTGGTCAAAGAAGAGAGCGCCCCAGGCTGGGTCCTGTTCCCAGAAGGAGCGCTGGGGTCAGCCTCCCTCCCCCCCTCCCTCATTCATTCTCTTACATATTCACTCAAAAATACTTGCTGAATGGGTGCCAGGCTCCGTGGCAGGTACAGAGGATATACCAGTGAGCAAACAGACAAAAACAAATACAAAATACACAAATAAGTCAATTAAGTGGTATGTTAGAAGCTGGGGAAGAGCATTCCAGGCAGAGGGACCAGCAAGGACAAAGGCCCTGAAATGAGAATGTGGCTGTAAATTCATGGGACCCTGATAAATGGGGGCGGGACTGAGGTCAGAGGGGTGGGCGGTAGGGGTTGATCTTGTGGGGCCTTGTCAACCACTGTAAGGACTTTTTTCTTCTGATCACTCTGAAACCAGGGAGGGGATGGGAGCCTGTCCCTGCCCTCCCAGGGGAAAGGTGCGAACACTGCCATCCTCACAGTCCCGCCACCAGCCTTGACCCCCGTGGGTGTCTGCGTGGAGGAGGCAGCCGAGTCGGGGCACGCGGGGGACCGTCTGAAGCTGGGCGTCGAGCACCACTGTGACAGGCGGTGGATCTGTTTACGGTGGGCTTTGTGGTTCCCAGCAGGGATTTGGGCTTTTTGTATCTAGCGGCGCACACAGTGGGCCTCTCCTGGCTCAGCCAGCACATGTAGGACTGGGGACCCCGGCGCCCGGGGCAGACCAAGCAGTCTGCCTCCTGAAGCCAGGGGGCCCGGGAGCGGCCGGGCTGAGCGTGCTCCCGCCAGCCCCTTTGTTGCTGCTGCTGCATCCTTCACAGGGGAGCCCGGTGCCCAGAGGGCTGTCTGGCGTCCATTTCTGGGAGAGGGGTCTGCTCTTTGTCCCCGGGCAGCCGCACTCCGGAGCCTGGATGCTCCAGGCCTGGCAGTAAGATGTCGATTCCGCAGAGGGAACAGCATGTGCAAGGAAACAGCAAGGCTCTGGGCACTCGGGTTGATTGGGTCTGAGCTACAGCTCAGGATTCTGTTTTTGGTTTCCCAGCGGACACTCTCTGGGACGGACCTGTCCGGCCACAGGAGCACTAGTGGCCTCTGTGCCACCGGCCCCGGCCCAGCCCTCAGCCAAGAGCCTGGAGGCACTCTGTCCTCTCATGAAGCCCTTTCGCACTTTGTCCACCCCCAGCCCAGAGGGTTCTGGGCCGAGGGAGACGCTCGCGCAGTGGGTGGAGATGTGCTGCCTATCACTGCCCCCTCCAAGGAGCCCCCTGGCCTCAGTGAGGCCACGGAAGGGAGGAAAGACGGCCCCCCCACGTTAGAGGGGGACAGGGGCAGGAAATGAGGAGGCGGTTTGGCCCTTCACGGAACGGCACAACCTGGGCTCCTTCCCTCTCAGCAGAACACACAGGGGTCTGACTGGGGAAGCGGAGGTGAGGGTTGAGGAGAGAGCGAGCCAGGTCTGACAAGTCTTGTGTGGTCCGTGGCTCAATAATCGATAATGATGATCGATAATAGAGTAGACCGACGACAGGTTGGACACGTGTCTGGGGAGAAGGGTGGGTGGATGAGTGAATGCATGGCCGCGCGGCCGGTGAGCGGCCCTCGCACGGTGCTGGCCAGCCCAGCGCCGTCACAGCCCCTTGGAGCTGCGCCCCACTGCACATCCAGCACCCCCGCTGCCGCGCCTGCCCGGGGCGCCCAACTCCCTGCCCGCGGGGCGCTGGAGCTGCGGCCGGCGGCAGCTCTGGAACCGGGGCGAGGAGGTGCCCGCGCCAGCCCTGAGCGCGCCGGCTGGGCCACCCCGCCGCCGCGGGGACACCTGGAGGAGCGGTCCACCTTGAAGTCCCCGGCCTGCTCTTCTTTGTCTCGGCCTTGTCCTCTGCTGACTCCCGACCGCCACCCGCCTCTTCAGGCCGCCCCCGCCGCTCCCTTCCGGGCGGCTCCTGGGTCTCCCGAGTGTCAGCTCCAGCGGCCCCCAGCCCTTAGGCGGCTTCCCCGGTCCAGCAGGGTTTTCCAAACCCAGGGCCTCTAGGACCGTGGGGCTCATAAGTGCCAGATCTCCAGGCTGCGTCTCCGGTGCGGAGAGAGGGGGCGCAGGATGAAGTCTCCCTCCTTCTCCGCTTTCGCCCTCCCGCCCCTCCTCTGCCACTACTCGGTGCTTTACGCCCTGACCCCAGCGCGGCCTGTTCGCGTCTTGAGCGGCTCCTCTGTGGGGGTGGGACCCTTGACGCCCTTCGGGCCCCCCTCCCCCCTCGCCTGCCAGGCCGCAGCCTCGCACGCAGAGCGCGGCCCCACGCAGGGTCGCCTGCAGACACGCACCGCAGCCTCTCGCCAACCCACAGCCCCGCACAGGCGCGCCGCCCTCTCCAAGCACAGCACGGCGGCCCCCGCAACCGCAGCCCCGGTCGCAAACAAGCCCCCGCGTACACACAACGCCCCTCCGACGCACTCGGGCCCACGCAGACACAATCCCACACACACACACACACACACCCCTCACACAGACACAGCCCCGCACAGGCGCAGTCCCACCCACGTAGTCCCACCCTCCCCCATAAACAATCGCATACAAACATGACCCACGCAGGCACCGCATCACTCGGTCCCTCCGAGACCCAGAGACACATTCACAGCTTGCAGCCATTCACAGCTCGCAGCCAGACCCCTACACCCCGTGACATTCACACGTAGGACAGACCAGAAATATACAGCCTCATTGATACACACGGACTTAAACGCGCAGCCAAGAGCTCACCCACCGGCTCGTAAGTCACTGGAAAAATATTAAAGCGTTCCCTCCCTCCCCTTTAATCTCTGACAAGCTCGCGTGCGCGCGCTCACAAACGGAGACACTCACCCCCACCCCCAGCCCCTAACCGAGCCTCCTAGCCCCGGACCCGGAGCCCCCACCCCCTGGGCCTTAGGAACGTCCCCCGGCGGCAAATGCCCCCCTCCTCGCTCCCCTGCCCCCTCCTCCTCCCCTCCCTCGCGTCTGGGGCTCGGGCTGCACGCAGCCAAGCCCCCTCGTCGCGCGCCCCTCCCCGCGCGAACGCGCGCGCCCCCCTCGCCTGCATCGCGCCTTCCGAGTGGATGCGGCCACAGGGCGGTCTCTAATTACCTCCTGTCCCCCGGCGACCCGTGAATAATGGCTACTCAGGGCGCTCGCAGGGGCTGCTGAGAAGGAAACGCGGGGCGAGAGAGGCGCGGCGCGCGCGGGAGCGCGAGAGAGAAAGGAGCGAGCCCGTGAGCGGCGACGGAGAGAAAGGAATCGGGAATCGTGCGAGCGCTCACATTTTTTTCTCCCAAGGATCTCATCTGGCCGCCGCGTTCTGGAAGAAGCGAGGGGGACAGCCGGCGCGCCGGGAGGAGAAAGACTGCCTGGGGACGGGGAGACGGCGGGACGCGCAGCGCCGGCGCTCGGGAGACCCGGGAGGAGCCCGCAGGTATTGTTGGCGGCAGAGCTTTGTGTCTTTGGGGAGCCGTTCTGGGGTTCGAGGGCTCCCGGATGCCCGGCCGCCGCGGCGCTCAGACCTGCTCCAAACCTGGGGCGGCCGGCGGGGGTCCCTGCCGGCACCCCTCCCGCGCGCGCCGCAATCTTGGCTGCAGTTGCAGATTCGCCTGTTTGGGGGTTTTCCATGCCAGTTGAGGGAATTGGTCTCAGGAGAAGGAATTTCTTTTCTTTTCTTTTCTTTTTTTTTTTTTTTTGGCCGCAGTTTGGTTGTGCTGGGGATGGGAATTCCCTCGTCCTGTTTCCTCCATGGCCTCGGCGACAGTGGTTCTGGCGGTACACAGGGAGACACTCGGGGGACGAGATGGAGGGGCTGGTGGCAGCGGATGGGGCGGTGAGGGACGCGGAAGGAAGGAGTTTCGCTCAAGTTCGCAATCTGCGCCCCGGAATAGGTCAGGCCGGCGAGGGCCGTCTGCGCGCCCTGTCCTGCTTTCGGCAACCGGTGGGAAACTTCCCGAGAGCGCAGCCTCCCGGGGAACTTGGCGCCCCTGTCGCCTCCGGGTGCTTCCTCCGGCCGCCGGCACAGCCCCTCCTCGCCGCCGCCCGCGCTAAGGTCGTGCTCTCCCACCCCCGCCTTCCTCCCACCCCCAGCGGCTTCCGGATCTGTGCGGAGCTGGAGCCGCAGCCGCGAACACTCCCCCTGGAGACCCCTCCCCACGCCTCCGCCAGCGCCTGCTGGATCTTGTGCGACTGGCCAGGCTGACAATGAAATCCTGCGTTTCTCCTGTCCGGGTGGGGGTGGTGGTAGCTTGATCTCTCCTGGGGCTGCTGACCCCGTGCTGGGGAGGCGAAGGGGGAGGGGCTTGTTTGGGTTAGAGACCTTGACGTGGACGGCGCCTGGAGGGGAGGGGCGGGGGCAAGGTGCGGTGCCGGGGAAGGCCAGAGGCCTGGGTTGTCTGCCTGGGTGGTGGATTCGAGCCCCCCTTGGGCTAGGTGATTGGCTGGTGACTTCAGGATCGTCGGAGGGCCCCCGCAACCTCAGCCTCCTCGCTCCACCGCGGCCTCCTCCCCTCACGTACAATGCGGGCTTCAGAGGTGATCCCGCGGGTGATGTGTGTGTGACGAAGTGTTTGTCTCTTGCGATCCACAGCAGATGCTGCTCTGGTGACCCGCTGATTCGGACACCTCGTCCCCTCCCTGAGGGCTTAGGGGAGGAGAGCGGTGGGAACTCCTGTTTCCACGGGGCCATGGGAAGGGAGTACTAGCCCAGGGAAATTTGGGGGATTCAACCCTGAGGGGGGCGCACCTCCGATGGGGGTTGTGAGGTCAGAGGCTTCCCGCACGCACAGCTCCCAGATCCTTCGGCTCCTGCGGGGGCATGTGGAAGGGGCGGTGGGCTAGTTGGAACAGGAGCCAGGGGAGAAGAAGAGTCTGCCTTAATTGGATTGCCAGGCCGGGGGGGGCAGGGGGCGGGACTGGCGAGGGACCCCCAGCTGGACACCCAGGCAGGTGAAGGAAATTCTCCCTCCTTAAAGAGACAGTTCCTGGGGGAGCACGGAGGCACCTTGCGGGGCGGTGGCAAAGAGTTTGCAGGCCTGTCTGTGACTTGGCCCAGGAAGAGAAAGAGTTGACCACCCCCAGATACCTGCTGGCCCCACACAGCAGGCGCCCGGAGTGGGACCCCTTGACCTGCTGCTAATAGTGAGGGGAACCAGCAAATTCCCTGGCCTGTGCCCGCCCCCTTGGCAGCAGCGGCAGCCGGACAGGACCTGGCGGGGTGGTGCCTGGTTCGGGAACCAGGGGAGGCGAAATTAGAGTTTGGGAGAGGGCGTCACAGTCAGGGAGTGGCCTTCTGGCCCTGAGGTTTTGAACAGGGGTTACTTGCCAGGGAAGGGGACACAGGAACTGGAAGCAGAGTCGCCATGGGGACTGGACACCCTCCTCTCCTCCCCCGCCCCTCCCCCGCCCCTGCCCCCATTGCCACCTCCATCCTCACCACCCACAGCTGGAGGCTTGGTGGTTAAGAGTGAGCTCCTTACTCTTAGGCTGGACAGACTGTGAGACCCGAGGTGCAGGGGACAGGCCTGGGCGAGGCCGCCGGGGTCAGGGCCCACCCGCAGGATTGATTTCTCCTTGCTCCGAGGAGAAAGGGCCCTTTATGGCACAAGGCCCTTGCTGCGTAGTTGTCCGAGGGGCTGTCGTCCCTCTTCCCCACCCGCCCCGCATTTCCGTTTCCTGCGGGGGAGAGCCATTCCCTGCGGGTCTCGGAGCCCTGAGGCCAGGCACAAGATGAGCCCTCGGCTTCGCTGGACAAGCGCGGAGTGAATGAATCAGTGATGAATGAATGAACACATGAATGAAAGAGGAAGGTTCCTCAATCGGAGGCATTTAGTTATTTTTTTTTAAAGAAAAAGACCTTTTTGATAGAAGCATTTTAAAATACGGTTCATAGAATATGTGAAAAATAAAAAGAAACAAAGGAGGTTACGGATAGTGGGCTGTGACCACGGGACTATTTTGATGCCGTCCTTTGCAGTCTTTGTGGACTTGGTGGCTGGGTTGTGTCTTGGAGGCTTTGTCGTCATTCTGTGTGTGCAGAGGCACATCCTGCTTTCTCCTTTGGCAACGCTGACGGGAGCCTTTTCCTGTTGTGTAACCGGCTCTCCGTAAACACCGTGTCTTCAGGCTCTTTCAGCCTGGTGGATGTGCCGTCATTTACTTAATATTCCCCGTTTTGTTCAGCATTCGGGATGCTCCCGATGAATGAGGTCGTGGATATATTTTATGTAGAAAGCTTTTTCTGATGTTTAAGATGATTTCCTGAAAATGATTCTGCTGATGCCAAAGGCTCCGACATGCCGGCAGTAGAAGAAATGGGCTTCTCATTTTTCCTGGAGAAGGGCACATTATTCTCTTTCCTTCCAGCACAATCTAGAACCTTCTACCAGAACCAAAGAGCCCTGGCAGTGAATCACCTGCCTGGCCCCCCTCCTTTGCCAGAGGAGGAGATGCTCCCAGAGGCGGGAAGCGAGTCCCAAGGTCACACAGCTGCTGTTGGGTGCTGCAGCAGCCAACGGTGGGTCACGGAGCTGCCACTATGGCTTCTGCATCCTGGGAGAGTCCCTAAGGCCCCCTCAGCCTGACCTTGCCCATCTCACAGATGGGAGCACTGAGGCACCACGAGAGGAGAGGCACCCAGCGTGCCCGCCCGCTGGAGAGCCAGACGGGCTCCTAAGCCCTTTGGGTCCCACCTGCTGGCCGTGCCCATGGGCCCTGGGGCCACCTAAGTTACCAGCCTGCCAGGGGCCAGACATTTGGTCCCTGTTGCCCACCCCCCAACTCACCCTTCCTCTTTCCCATCCCATTTCCAGAAGGAAAAGCCAAGATTCCAAAGCAGGCGCATTGAGGGGGTGGGAGTGCAGGAGTCAGAGGGACCCAGGGGTCATGCCCCCGCCCTGTGCCCCAGCTCACCTGCCCCGAGGCCGCACTCAGGGTCCGCTCAGGAGCTGGGGCAGTGGCTGGCACAGACGCCCGCGCTGGCGGGGTGCGGCGGCCCAGCTCCGCCTTCAGCTGTCCCTCTGATCATAGATTGACCACAGGCCCCCATCCCGGGAGGGAAGGGGAAGAGGGGAAGAGAGAATAAGAGGAGAAAAGAATGGAAGGGGAGACGATGAGAGAAAAAGGAAGGGATTAGAAAAGAGGGAAGGCGAAAAGGTGTATGATTTCATGGCCCAGTGTCACCCCACTAAATTCATTTAAAAAAGGAAAGGAAAAGAAAAGAGGGAGGGGAGGTCTGAAAGGGAGAAAACGGGGAAGGAAAGGACCTATTGCAAGTGAAGACAGGAGAGAGAGAATCCCTCGCCCCAGCCTTGCGGGGCGCCCGGGAGAAGCCAGCGCGTCCCTCCCAGCGTGGGTGCTGGGAGGCCAGGAAAGGCCACGCACCCTGGGACTCTGCCCGGGCTGGGTGGAACGGCTGTTTGGCGGGGGTAGGGGGTGGCCCTGGGGCTCAGAAGGATCCAGACCAGGTGCCACCCAGGTGACAGGGAGGCTAGATGCTGGTGGTTTCTCTGTTCACGGATCCCCCAGTGGGGCTGGGGGCAGGGCCCCTCAGCTCCACGGCTAGGGCCAGGGCGCTTGGGGAGGCGAGGGAGCTGTGGCTCTGACTTCCCAGCGCAGGGAAGGACCTTCTGTTTGTCTGCCCGCCAGCATGCCCACTGGCCAGGGAGGCCTGGAGCAGCCCTCCCGTGAGCGTGGGGGTGTGGGCCTCTCTGAGGTGTGTCCCTGTGCTTGGACCTGTCCCCGTAGGCCCATGCACATCGCGTGTGCCTGTGTTTGTGTCTGCGTCTGACGCTGTTTGTGTACTCTTGGGAGTCGGGGTGCCTGCCAACCTGGGCATGTGTGTACCCACATTTGTGTGCCTTGGATTCTGTTTGTATATTTCTTAAGGGGTCTGTGTGCCTTCCAGCTTTGGCACATGTGCATGCACGCATGCCTGTGTGTGCCAATCTGTGTGCATCCCTGTCCATGCCCTGTCGGTGAGTGAGTCTCTGATGCCGTGTGTGCATCTCTGGAGAGCGTGCCCCCAGGCTTGGGCACATTTATGTGTGACTGTGTGTGAGCACGTGCTTACCTCACAGTGGCCCCCGGAGGGGTCCGGGCAGCGGGTTCCGTGCCGCGTGCCAGGCTGCGGCAGGGAGGGTGGAAGGGTGCGGGGCCGCCTTCAACTTGGAGGGGTGGGGGGAGGAAGGCAAAAGAAAATCTTAAAAGACCATCTTCCCTCCGGTCTCCAAGGAGATTAGCCTGTGAAATGATCTGCACGTTAATTAAAAACGATTCTATCCTGATTGAGCCATTCCTGCTCACATCCCCCAGCGAGGGAGAGGATGAGGCCGAAGCCAGAGGATGTACAGTGGGGCAGGTCCGGCGGCAGGGCCCCGCGCGCCGAGGCCCAGCCCACAGAGGGAGCCCCCCTGGGGGCTCAGGGGCCGGGTGTGG